ATCTGGAGAACACAATTTGTAGGCCAGGGTATCTCTGCAGCTCTTCATTATAATGCTGTTTGTCTCACAGTTCACCTTTATCAAACAAATTGTAGCCTGTTGGCTTATTAGTTACTGCTTATTAGTTATTATTACTGTGTTTCATTCTTCTTTATTCTTCTCTACCTATCACTGTCTGATTCAGGTATGGGGCACCAGTGGCAGGCGGGGGTTGCAATCAGATTCCATGCCTTGGCACTATTTAAAATTTGATGCTTTGTCCACCTGATAATGATCCAAAGTTGGACATCTTCTGAAAATATATCACACTACAATTATGTTAAATGATATTCTAATTCAGGTCACCTTGATGTTCTAATCAGTTTCTACACAATGGACCACTGATATGTATCTTATCTGGAGTGGCCTGTATACTGTACACCAGATGTACAAAATGTGAAAACAGCCTCTTAAAGTCTCTGTTAAATAAAAGAAAATCCATGACAGGAGTTATGAATCATGTCATTATTACCTCTTACTCTGTTTCAGACCAGGGCTGGCAGCAAGAGAGCTTACACAAATGGACAGTAGGAATTCCATAGATTTTCAGTGACAGTACAAAACAAAGTGACCCTGCATCCAAGAGCCACACCATCATTCATTCTCTGAAAGGGTTCATGAGCGTGTTCTTCAGTTAACAGTCATGTGGATTTGTTTGTGGACCATAGGCTGTTAGGATGACTCAGTAGTGCCCCCTCCCAAGGCCCTAGCCCTCCGCCACATACCAACACAGATCTTTGCAGGGTGCTTTTGCACCATTAGTCCCACATGGGCAACAGCATCAGGCTCAGAGAGAGAAAGAGGGAGGGAAAGAGGGAGAGAAAGAGGGAGAGAGAAGGGCTCGGCAGGCGGTTGAACTATCGGCATGGGGGGCTTGCCCTGAAAAGGTCACATGCCTCCCTGCGCAATTATCCACTGTGCATAGAAACAGCACCCCCCACCCACACACAGACACACACAATGGTTTGACCAACACAACTAAAAATGGAAGATGGACGGTAACAGAACAGGATGATCAACGCACTGATGTGGGATTCACTGTTTATCTTAATTGTGTTTGTGAAATTGAAGATGAGCGAACATGTTACAAACAACTCCAGGAGAGTGTTAAAATAAGCAGCGCACATCAGTGGATGTCAGCTGGTATTGTGCATGTAGCATGAGATCATCAGGGTATCATGAAAATTCATGCTCTGGAGAGTCTCACGTTGCATCGCCTCTTCTCTCTTGTTTTGCAGGCTACTTTAGCGCGTTAGCAGTGGTCCTGAGAACAAACAACGACTCGCCATGGACCAACGAGTTTGACAGTAAGAGCCAGTTCACAAATACCCCGCAGAAAGGGCAAAAACTGTTTTTCACATCAGTCACATCACTCGCTTTTTTCTCCATCCTGCAGAAATTGAGTTATCGTGTTTGATTGAGTCCATTTCTACAACCAGTCCCAGAATTGAATGGAAGAAGATAACAAACGAGGGACCAAGTTATGTGTACTTTCACGAAAGGATCGTCGGTAATGTATAACACGAACAAGCCTAATGTCAGTCTCTCCTATTTTTTTTACTGTTGATACATTTAGTAACATGTTTTTCTTCCAACAGGTGACCTGGAGCACAGAGCGGAGATCAGAGAACCAGCCACATTACTGATAACCAATGCCACCAGATTGGACACAGCCAAATATCGCTGTGAGGTCACCGCAGTTGATGACCAGAAGTCATTTGATGAGATTGTGATTGACCTCGTTGTAAGAGGTACTCAGACTTACCTGCATCATCGATTAATCTGTGTGCGTGTGTGTGTTTTAGGCCTACATTGCATGTGTAGAGTCAAAGACATGAGACAGAAAATACGATAAAGTGTCTGGCAATTATTGTGCCCTTAAAGAGAGACCTTGCTTAGTGATTCACACTTTAGATGCTGTAAGATGAAACCGTGTTGTAGGTCGCACCAACCCTTTGGCATACGTACGATGTGTTATGACCAGACCTGCCCAGCTGCAAAGGCGTGTTCTGGGCTATAAGAGGAAACCTCTGAAACTGCATCTGCTCTGCTCTAAAGAAAGCAAGCGCTGCGTGTTTTGGTGGCGTTTTCTGGCACAGGCCAAAAATCCTGTACCCTGTCCTGTCAGTACGGTGAACCAGGGTGACATTGTGTTTTTTGACAGCATCTAACCAGCAGCATCATGAAAGAATGTGTCCGTTTGTTGTGTTATAAAAACTCAACTGAGGTGTAAAGCTCCCTAAGAGAGACTCTGATCATATGTTCTGTCACCACAGTAAAGCCCATGGTGCCAAAATGCAGCGTCCCAAAATCAGTGCCTTTTGGGAAGTCGGCCGAGCTGAGCTGCGTGGAGGAGGAGGGCTTCCCCAAGTCTCAGTACCAGTGGTTCAAGAACAGGGAGGAGATACCCCAGGACTCAAAGACCAGCCTCAAGTTCATCAACTCTTCATACTCGCTCAGCACAGAGACAGGAACTCTGGTTAGTATGTGCGCGCATGTGTTTGGACAAGGGCACGCATGAGCGGCAAGGGGACGGGGCAGCGGGGACGGTGGCCCGACGCCCAGGGGCGGGGGCAGATATTTTGGGGAGACAGTTGATGGTGCGAGAGGGGCTTGAGCCACGAGGGGAATCTGCTGTCCTCGTTTGCACATTCCTCAATTCTCACTTGCTTTCCAGCACAGCTCGATCTGCTCAGCGGCTCGCCTCCAACGCTCTCCTGTCAACCTTCACGCTGGCCTCTAAGATGTGACGCATCAGAGATACTCCAGTATTTATCTTTATGGGAAACTGTAGTACAGGTGGTGCAAGCTAAACGGAACAAAACCATTAAAGTTTTCATTGTTTTGACTGTTTTTTTAGAGCACTAGAACACAGTTATCACTCCGCTCTGCTACTCCCATGTGAGGAAATACTGCCCACACCCTGCTGTAAGGAGTGCAGTTTGTGAAATCCATTATTTTGTATCAGATTAGCCAGGAAAAGTTGGATCACTTTTTTACAAGAATTTTTGTTTTTTACTTAATCAACATTTCATTCATTTCTTTCATTAGTTTATTGAAGAGATAATTTTAATTATTCCAAATTGCATTATTGTGCAGTTTTACAAGATTTTTTTCCTGAAAATAAAAAAATATAAAAAAGCAAAACTTTCACAAATATATATAATATATATTTAGATACCAAAAGAGAATATAACAATAATAAATTCATTAATTGAAATATTTTAGAAATCTTGTTTCAAACCCAAAATTAGACTTAATGTTAATGCATCTCTGATAAAACTAGCCACAGTTTTATTTATTTATTGTTTATTTAGCAGGGCAGAGGTCACTAGTAATGTGCAGGTAACACAATGTGAAAAAACAGACACCACATAAAACACTATATGAAATACTAAGAAACAAAAGCCAAGAATAATAACCACAAAGAAACAAAAAACAGAAGAACAATTCTAAACTCCCACTACGGAGCACAACATCCGCAAACTCATCACCGTTCAAAACACGTAATTGCAAGAAATTACCAACCAGACACTGCTGGCTCCATTCAGAATCTCACAGCCCAGTGCCTACTGACCTGACTGCCCTTCAGCCATGTTTGATAAATGTAAAATGTTTAAAAGTACTGCACTCAGAAGCTGTTTTGCACAAAAGTTGGAGACCAAAATTGAACATAACTGTTTTTAAAAGGTCAGTGTAATACAGCACCACAAGCTTCTCTGGTATGTTGCCTTAAAGACGGACGGCACCACGACTGGGGTTCATTTTTAGTAGAGTTAAGCTGTATATGGAGCTCTCTTCATTCACTCAATCCCAGAGGATTCCATCTGATATCAGCAAAGAACACCTCTGACCACTGAGTCTCTTCATTTGTTCGTGCTTTTATCAGAACCAGACAGCAGTTCACCAGTTCTGTTGAATTTTCATGTTTAATCGTCTCCGGACATGGGCACATGGTTATCACAGAGAATGTAAATGCGAATGTCACTCCTCCACTCACAGTAACTGGTGTTTGCCTCCATGCTGACTGCACCTGTATATAGAAGCCCATTTCTGCCAGTGTTACGGAATGTTACTTAGTATCTGAAAATAATGAGAAACGTTCTCAATACTTTGGTTTAGTATCTGAAATTCTTTTGAGATACTATTGTCAAAATATTGAGATAGTTTATTGTTTTCAGATAGTAAGTCATTATTTTGCGTTGCTAAGTCAATATTTTGGGAAACTTATGACTTACAGAATCCCTTTTTTTCCACCACGTTGGCAAAAATGGGCTTCCATACCTGCATGCTGCCTTTATATATTGTAAAAAGCGACACACACAAATCGAAATAGAACTGATCCTAATCCCATATATTCTGAACCTTCTATAAACACCTATTGACTAAACCAACATTGACAGTATGAGTATTAGATTGGGGCTTTGCATTAATCAGGTTTATGTTTGTGCTTCCTCCGATGCAGAAGTTCATCGCAGTCAGAAAAGAAGATGCAGGCGAGTACTTTTGCAGAGCGAAGAACGATGCAGGACACTCTGAGTGTCCATCCCAGCAGATGGAAGTCTGTAAGTCTCTCGCAAATACAAAAATACGTCCTACGTGGTGATGAAATAAATCATCAGGCCTGATGTAACTATACTCAACTCTGTCATCCTATCTTTTAAGGCTAACCCACATGTCAGTGTTTGATTCGTGCCTTCTTGCTTGAACTCCACAGATGATATAGATGTTGTTGGGATTGCACTGGGGGTGCTGGTGGTGGTCGTAGTGCTCTTATGTATAACGGTGGGCATCTGCTGTGCATACAAGCGAGGCTTCTTCTCCAGCCAAAAACAGACGGGGAACAAGTAAGACATCCTCCCCTTCACATGATCAACAAATACATGTATTCCTCTTAAACCAGCACTACTTCAGCCTGTCACCCATGGGACCATAATGTGCTTTGTGTCTTTTAGCTACAAGGTTCCAGCTAAAGGAGATGGAGTGGACTACGTCAGGACAGAGGATGAGGTCAGTAGATAGTAGTGAGCTCTAGAAACCTGTATACTTTGTAAATGATGGCATGTTAGGCTGCTGAACGGCAATCCAGTCAGCATATTTGATTATCGTTCTTGGACGTCTAATACCGTTTACAGGTACATGTGATAAATTAATGTGTGCTATAAATAACCACAGTCATGCTTAATGACAGCCGTACATATATATAACTGCACTTCTTCTGTGAAGTTCTCAAGTGGTGGAGCAGACAGAAGTATTGATATGTGAACGGCTGATTTAACGTGTGTCTACTTGTGGGAGTGGAGCTCTTTACCAAAAACAAACCAGTCTGAATAAAAGAATGCACATGCATCCTGTCTTTGTGTACGTTGTCAATCTACACACACCCCCTTTCTGCCAGTGCCAACCTAGTGCTAGTTGGATCAGTTGGATCAACTTGCAAGCCTTTGTCCACAGACTAGAGGGCCACCATAGAGCCACATTGTTGCTTTGCTGTATACATCTCCAACTTTAGCTATTGTGACCAAGGTTTCACTAGCTGGCTAGCTGTTGGTCAGCTTACATTAACCAAGCAAGCATAGCCACTAATTTATCACATCAGTGTTAGGTTCGTAGAAAGCATAGCTGGCTGGCCACGAGGCACCCCCATCCATTCTGCGGTTGGTTAGGAGCCAGTTCTTTGACTGTTGAAAAATGAATAACTGCTTCAAGATTAGGCGCCAGCTCCAGATCAGCCTTTGAACTGTGGAATATGGGTAACAGGTGTATAGACTGTGTATAAAATATGAAGGATGAAACAAATTCCTATTTTATAGAGCAGTAAGTTAGAGAAAGTAAAATCTCCCAAAACACAATAAGGGCATATATTCATTAAAGCAGAGGAGGAAGGTGGAAGGAAAATATGTGTATTCCTATGGAACCAATATGATGAATTCTTAACTACTGCTCCCGTTTGGCTGTATGTTCTCTGCAGGGGGATTTCCGACACAAGTCGTCATTTGTGATCTGAAAAAGGGAGAAGATGATGAGGGGCGTTGTGCTGAGTGAAAGACATGACATGTGGGACTGTACTCCACGCTGTCTGACCACGGAGCTGCCACAGTTCATGCTCTCAGCTCTTAGCATGACTGAAATCCAACTACTCAAGTTTGCCAAAGGTGACAAGATTCCACAGGACAACAATATGTAAAACTATTACACATGTAGGGACTGAGATTCATTTGTCAATTTTTATCACCACCAACTGAATTCTTTAGCTAAATTATGGAGTTCTTACTTTACAGTTATTGCATGGTTTGAAACACCTAACAAGGTGGAGAAAATGAAACATTTCTTTGTTCAGCCAGGTAGAAAAGGAGGAGTCTATTTCCTCCAAAGTCAGTCTATCATGATACCTTTCTACTGTAAAACGTTTTAGCTTCAAATCTTTTCTTCATTTGTACAACATTTCTTTTCTACTGTTGAAATTTGTCAGACTATTTTTGATGGAATATATTTTAAAATGCCTATAGATAAAGGTTTACTTTTTTAAATATTTGTAAAATACTAACATGTGTTTTTTTTTTATTTGGTTGTGGAAAAAAATATGTAACACTTTAACCACTTTGCATCAAGCTGTAAGCATTTACACCTTTGCAATTGGAAGAAAGAAAGACAAATGAAAAATGACTCGTATTAGCATATCAAGATGTGGTTCTTGATCGGCGGTCTTACATATTTAATTTCTCCTCTGGGAATGCCCAGCTTCTGTTGTGAGAGACTTCCATGTTAATGTTTGTAGATAGTCTTTGTCAGAGGCTTTGAAGAGTGCCAGTCAAATGCTGTGAAACACTGTACACAATCAGTGCTGCATTTTCTTGATTTTAAGTGTCCTTCTCTGCTTGCTGTTAATCTTGTATATATTGAATTTACTGTCCAGGATAGAGTTTTGCTGTCATACATACGTTCAGTATTACACTATTAATAATGATAATAATAATATTATTAAGACAGGGTTTGTAAGTTAACCTTCCAGACCCAACCTAAACTAAAAGATCTGCCTGAAAAGTTGTAATACTTAAAAAATAGACATGGTACTTTGACATTTTACTGTGTAAAAGCCTCTATTTGAATTCTAAAAAGAAACAAATAAGATGACCTGATAGAGAACAAAGACCTTTCTGTTATTGTGAGTGACAGTTAAACAACCCTATATGATTATTAAATACCCCAACTCACAGACAAACAAATACAGTAAGGCAGACCACATCAATCACAGAACACAGTCTTTGACGTGACGTTGATATTTGCTGATGTTTACAAACTAGTTTTGCTAATACCTGGCTAAATGAGCCTTCCTAAGTCCCGCCTCTTTTTGCTTTGTGCTCCATTAACAGTTGAGCAAGCCTCACTCAGCTTTCTCCTTTGCTGTACTGAGATATGATATGTGCTAGGCTAATCTATGTTGAAAAGACAACCATGTTTTGAAGATGGTGAAAAGATAATAGCATCGTATATATTCACATCTGACTATATATGTTCTTTTATCTTTTAACCGTCTTTTCAACATAGACGAGGCAAGTAGTCTGCCTCTGATTGGTCAGTGCTCGTTACCTGCACTTGCTTGGTTTGGTTAGGTTTAGGTATGAGGAGTGGGACGGTTTGGGGTTAAGGTAAGATTATTAGGGTAAGCCAGTGAGAGAGGGCGGTTCATTCAGGAGAAAGTTGACTGAGGCCTGCTCAACTGTTACTGGAGCACAGAGCGGGAAGGGGCGGGACTTAGGAAGAGCCAAATAGAGAGAAGAGCTCATCTAACATTTCTAACCTTTAGTTGCGACTACATGCTTTAGCAGTTCTGACTGAAGCTCATATTGTACACAGAGCTGACCTTACAGTGTTCCAGTAACACACAGCTGTGGTCTGGAGGGTTAACAGTTGTACTGATTGTATATAGATTTTTGTTCTTTTTTCTCTCTCAAGATTAATTATGTGAAGTGGTGAAAGATGTAAAAAAAAAAAAAATAATCCTATTTGAGGCGATATGAAACTCTTTCCATTTGTAAGACTGAGTAAAGCTAACATTGTATCATATCATTCATAGCACAGGCTCGGGAGCGTCTGAGCAGCAGCATGGCAAATTCAGTCGTGACTGGAAAAAGGTATTCAGAACAAACAGCTCAGCGGTTCAAAGTTCTGTTATTTTTGGCTCCTTCTCGTCATCTTTTTGAGCTCACACACACGGTACACATCAGTATTCGTGGAACTCCCATGCTGCTCTCCTGAATCTCTTGTTCAGCTGTTATGAATGTCTTTGAATCGTGGTGGAATGTTAGCTCAGCATCAGTCGTGGTAGAGACGATCTGCCCAACATTTGCACATAGGAAGTTGTCAACACTGCTCAGTCTTTTTCCAAGTTAACATGTTGCATTAAGGAAGCAAGAGAAAACGTTTCCAAGTGTACTATTAACCCAATTACTGTTACAGGTCAACCATACGGTCACGCAGCACACAGTTGCATAACGTTACCCCTCTCCATTTGTACAAATTTCATTCCTCTTAAGTGCCTTCTGCCTTTAAAGTAGTCCAGTTTCTCTGCAGCCACGCTCTCTCCTGCTGTCGATACCGTCGGAGGCTCCGCATTCATTCAACCACAAGCACGGCGTTTGAGAGGAATGATGTCACTGCAAATCTCCACTACCCCTTCTTTACATACGTATCTGCAAACTTGTAAATAGCTTTTTTTTTCATAGATTTGAAGGTTTAGACCTGTTGAAGTAGACATAGAAATATATTAGTGCCTAAATATAGTGGGAATTATTTTTGGTAAAGACACATAGCACTATTAGGCAAAAGAAAAAAAGAGATGGATACCCAAAGCAGGGAAGTTTGTATATGAGCTGTGGTTTAAAACACGTTTGAGCAGACGCATTGTCCTGGCTAACTGAGGTGTGCTTGTCATTAACACCACCGCCGGCCGGGGCAGTGATTTTGAAACCCATCGCTGCTTTCAGAAACAAATGCGACATTCAGGTCGAGAGTTGACTCAGTATTTGTGAAAGTGTCGTGCAGCTGTAATGGAGCTCTAATACAGTCCATTTACCATTTAATTATTCAGGCAGTACGAGCGCATTATGAAGCAGAGTTCATACACGGTGTCAAACAGCAAACAGGAAACCATGTACAGCAGCTACATGTGGGCCTATTTTTAGCCCGCAGACAGTCCTGAGTGAGTCTGTCTGTAATCTGGCTGTGTGTTGTAAAGCAGTGGTGATAGAGATTATATTTACATCCCAGTGAGATGTGATGTGCATCCTGTGCACCACAGTATGAGGTGGTTTCCACTCTGTGTTCGGTGTCAGTGGGAAGGTTAAGCCAAGCTAACTCACCATTGTGTTTCTTAAGAATAGCAGCGCTCCACTGATCCAGGAACTGTTACTAACTGAGGACCGGTACATCATGTAAGAAAACGTGATTTTCTGAACCAAACTCACATACAGTAGAATGTCTGTTTGGGGCCTGCTGGGGCTGTTTTTGTTCATTTTACAACCACTCTATTTGTGATTAATAAAACTCACTTCTAATATTACTGGAGACATTTGTCTTTGCTTTTTCTTCTGCTGTGTTTGTGTGTGTGTGTGTGTGTGTGTGTAAGTGAGGATTCTGCACCGCCAGTCTTGTTATTTCATAATTCCTCTGCTTCTCCCAAATCCTCCTCGACTACTCCAGAGTCTCCTGCTGTTCTCAGAAATCCTATCCAGCATGAAAGTCCATCAAATATCCCACTGACAGCATCTTTGTTGATCTAAAGCCATAATCTATTAGTGGGAGTTAAGCCATTTCTACTTTCTACGCTGAAAACAGCTTTCTTGTTCCTCTCTGGTAACTGTGCCAACTGGCAGCGACTTCCTAGATAAAGAGCATTATAATCAATGAGCTCAGCAGCGAGTCATATACTGTGGCCCGCAGGAGCCGATGGACACTTTTATTTCATTCACAGAAAAATATATCAAAGCTCAGGTCACCTATTTGGTTCACAATGGGATGAAAAAACACCTTTCAGACTGTGGAGCTGATGAATAATCTCATTTTCAAACATTTTAGACAGTTAAGGCTGTGAGGAAAAAGACTGCAAGCCAGAAAACATGGATGTAAACAATGTAAACAATGCACTTGAAATGAAATCAGCTTTGCAAATATTTCATGAGGGAGGAAGGGCAATCATTGTGTGTTAGTCTTTAAGAAGTATTTAGGTAAGAAACACAGAATGTAAACATACATTTGTTTGTTTACAATAAAACTGCACAGGGTGCTTTTATAGCAAATATGTTTACTGTAGTTTCAGTTCAAGTATAAAACACAAAAACACACACTTCCCATAGAACACACAAACCTAAACAAAACCCATATAATGCAGGAAAGGAGTGTTCTGTTATCGTACTTGTTGACAAGGTACCAAAATAACATCAACAAATGTTCCAACATTTAATAACAGAAACCGGTCAAAGTGAAGATAAATAAATAGCAGTTTACTGCAAGGCCCCCACTAGAGATTTAATTGGGGGGGGGGGGTCTGATTGGCCACTCCATTATCTTTCCACTCATGGGTCTGTGTCGTATTGTGAATGCTACCATATGAAAACTAGATGAACGAACGCATCCCATTCTGACCAAACCATTCGCTGACATGGAAGGGGTTCAGAATAACAACACGTTCAACACGCACATTGCCACACATGTACCTCCCATGCATCCCATTCCCCCAGCTTTCGGTTTCTGTTTATTTCTGTTTTAGATAAAGTGTCTATTTTCGCCGAGTGTATTAGAATATCTCTGCATACTGGGCTCCATGAACAGTGTTGGAATGGTATAAACTGGGAATGGAAAGCTGAGACACATACTTCACCCCTGCATAAGTCATTGCTCCACTTGAATGAATGAATGAATGAGCCACAAATGTTTTCAAACACAGGGTGCTTTTACTGTTGACATTTAAATATTACTGAACTAATATCATGGAAATATTAATATTAATATTAAACCATCTTTCTGGATGAGTTAAGCTTAAGTTTTTCTCTTTCTCAAAATTTCCAGAAGCTCATTTCAAGTGGTGCAGTTTCAAAAAGTTGATGTGTGGTGTGCTTTAGGGTTCACACGTTTTAAACTGACATGGGGGTGCCGACCCTAAAGTCCATGGGCGCTGGTAGCCAGCGTCTCTGCAAGAAAACTACACTGTACTACTATATCACTATCCTACTACTGTATATTCCATCGGCCTGGTGTAGCTCGCAGCCCATGTACTGAGGCTGGGTCCTTGGTGCTGAGGTCTGGGTTTGGTTCCCGGCCTAAGGCCCTTTGCTGCCTGTATAATCCTCTCTCTCTCTAAATTCAAGATGACAAATTCACACTTTTAAATCCGGGCTACCAGGAACACTTGATCCTCCTGTATTTTAGTCAGACTAAATGCTCAGATCATGTGACTGACAGACCCTGATCCGGCAGGGGTCTGACAGGTTCCATTCAGGCTCAGTCTATTGGGATTTTCAAGCTGATTTTAAATTTATGTTAAAGATTATTTGACTTCACCAGAATTTAACATGACTATAGTATTCTTTTTTAACACTACCCACTTGAAGTGTTTATTTGTTCTTTATGTCTTAGAGACATTTATGTCTTTACTTTTATGACTTTATGTCATTAGAGATGATAGGAAACAACCAAGGACAGAGATTGGGAACAGAGGGACTCGAACCAGGGATTGTTGCAGTTCATTGTGGGCACACCCACTTCAACTCTCTAAAGTTTTTAAAACTGCACTGCTTGAAATGACCGACTGAAATTATTTCAATGCTAAAATATTTCAATGCTATGAATTCTGTGGTATTTATCTTTACAACAGTTTAACATTTTCATCATCACATTAAAGGAAAGCAAATAAAGATGTTTTTATTGCTGAACAACTTCTCAAGATGTTAGAGAATCTTACACTGCAAAAAAGCCTTGTTTCTTTATTTCTTGTCAAAAAAGAAAAATAATCTTGTCAAGCATGTTTTACATTAGAAAAATAATCTGGTTTTAAGAAAATATATCTAACTTTGTTTTAAAAAGATATTACATCTAATATTTAGCTGAACTGAACCAGTAACAAATTCTAACAATGGTTCGGGCGGGCCTTCATTTAAGACAAAGTCACTTATTTGTATCCTGCTGTTTGAAGAAACTGTGTCTTATTGGAAGATTTGATTAGATTAAAAAGGTACACATTCTTAAATTCAGATCAATAAAGTGACCAGAATAGTTATTTTAGGAATCTTAAATAAGAGTTTTCATTGCTTGTAATTTAATTGTAATTTTTATGCTAATTCAAGCTAAACTGTTCTACCCCAATACACAAAACAAAAAAATAAATTTATTATATTCAAGAATATTTGGCTTGTTTCTAGAAGGGCTGTTTTTGCAATGTACAATGCAGAGTATATGCAGATATATGGAGTACTTCTGAATCTCCTCTGATGTGCATCATTTGATAGTGTTCTGCAAGCTAAATTTGTTTTTCCTAGGATGGTGAAGACATGACATAGTTGTCCAATTTTAATGAGTGATGGAGTCAGGAGTCAGGAATACTTTTACCTAAGATGCATTATTTTATGTGTCTGTCTCACCCTGCACTCTGCGGGCCAGTATTGATTGAAGATCTGTGTCTTACATAATGATCCTTTCTGTCTGAAGTTAATCAGCAGAAGTTAAGTGACAATGTGCAAACACTACTGGCCCAATTCTAGGTGAACTAAATATGCAAGAGGGTGGTAGGTTTATCCTTTGCTGGATGGGCTGCTTTAAAAAATAATTTAGGGCACAAAGTAACGTATTGTATTAATATAATATTGTATACACACTTCTTCAAGTGCCACTACACCACTGCTTATGATATGGATAGTGTCACTTGTATTTTATTGTTTCCATGTTGTAAAGCCAGCCACCGCAGTTAGATCCATCATGTGACTAAAACTTTTCATTTTGACCCAGGGTGATCTTTTTTTAGCGCTAGCAGGGGGCCATTTTAAGTGGTGGGGGTCCTCTGCAACATCAGTCTACTATCAACAGACATTATAGATAGACTCCAGGTTTTCTGCTCATGTTTGGCGACGCTGAACAAATACTGACAGAGCAGAGAGCTGTGTTGGCCGAGCAGACACCAGAGTGAGGAGAAAACAGACGGGAGAAAACCGTACTTGACAGAAGGACGAGGCCTATTTAGAAAATCTCACAGCATGATGTGACAAACTGACACATTGACAATATATTTGTCCGTATCAGAGCGAAGCTGCAGCTGCACCTAACTCCTCTCAGCCCTATATGAATAATTAGTTTCAGCCATTTCAGGACAGCTAGAGGGGCCACTGCTTGTTAAAAGTTGGAAGTCAAGTGTCCAAACATGAGAAGGAGTTGTAGAATTTCTCTGTGTGACACTCAGATGTCCCAGCAGGCTGCTGAGGGACGATTTTAGACCTTTTTTATTTTCACTGTCTCCGAAATGAGTCACTGTTATGAAAGAACCTTGTTAGGTCTCAGTTCATGCAGCAAAAAGGCTCCAGGGGAGTCATTTATCTGTTGTCAAGTCTGATCATAAAAGGATTTACAAAAGGAGGATCGCTGTAATATTTTGTTGTAAGTCAACAGAGCTAATTACGCAGTTAAGAGAAACTGTTCCCAGAGGAGCTTTGTAATGAGCTACAGTGACACACACACACAGCAGACACAAAACACATTTGTGCCGTTTGTAATATTTCTGCCTTATACACACATGTCATATAATTACTGTTTGACGATGTGTCAGCAGTATAACTGATAAGTGTGTATTTGCTTTTTTATTAAGAATGTGATATTAAGCAGTCAGTGCCAACCCTGCACTGCAGTGGAAACCTTTTTATAGCTTCAGCTTGTCCAATAAAATCTGGGGTGAAAACATGCAGTTCTTAAAATGTGGATTTATTTTGGCATGAAAATAAAATAAAATACTTAATAATGGCACAAAATATCAGCAATGCAAAAATCTTCTTAACTGAAGTTGAGCTAAGGATAGCACTCAGGTTGATCTGGCTCCTGTTGTTATTGAACTCTGCCCTCTAGTGGCACAGCACTGCCATCACAGAAATGTTTTTCATGTTTCAGACACAGGAAAGAAAGAAGAAGTGAAAGCTTTGAGCTACAATGCAATGAGAAAGTAATACATTGACCGTAATTGTTATTGATTCACAGATGTATTTATTTCCACTGTGTCAGTTCCAGACACTAAAAGCAGTTTAACTGTGCACTCCTGACCTCTTGTGCTTAAATCTAGCACAACATGCTGTCAAAGGTTTTCATCAAATGTTGATAAATACACTACCGCTCAAACGTTTGGGGTCTGTTAGGTTGTGGACAGTCCTCTTTTATTTGGAATAAAGGGTTTGCAAAGAGTGCTATTTGTACATGGAGAACAAAACACTGTACAACACTGTAATGCATTGTTATTTTAACTTAAAATTGTTGAAAAGGATTACATCAAAATTAAGCAGCTTTACTAGTAATTTTAAGTTACACCAACTTAGTTTTGTAAGTTACAGAAACACTTCTGATTAAGTACTTTTTGGGGAGTGTTTTGTTTTCACAGTACAATTAAAAACAAAACTCAGTATCACTTAAAATTATTAAAGCTACTTGATCAAGAGTGTTTAAAAAAAAACAGTTTCAACAACTTTTTGGAGTTAAATTAACGTACGTGGTTTTATAGTGAATTGTTCGACTGACAACTGAAAGGGCAGAAAGAGACAAAGATTTCTCTCAGCAACAGTTATCAAAGAACATAAGAAATCAGCTGTCATTGTAGAAGAAGCTGGAAGCTTAGTATTAAAATCTGCTTGCCTCTAACAAGCTGGAATTAACAGTTAGGTGTGTTGTTTTAGCAAAGTGCATTTAGCAATCCGATCACCACCATCTTTGAAGTAGCACCAGTGAAAATCCATGCCACTAATGCGCAAAAGAAAGCACTTGCTTTTAGCAGCCTCATAGCACGCACACTGATACTCATTCATTGGACATCCAGCACACACACCCCTTTCAAGAGCTGGATACAGGAGGCATTGTCCTTGCTCCAGGTTGAGAAAATGAGACATACTGAGTGGTTCCTATCACGACAAGTTTATTCAGATATGGTCCCCATTTATTAAATATGTAAAGGTACTGACTCTACGATGCTACCTGGCTGAATTTGTCCTAGCATAACCCACAACTAATGTCTACATATTGGATCTTTTTCTTTTCCTTATTTATTTACTCCCTGAAATACATTTATTTTTTCTGTTTTATTGTATTACTTAATCTATTTAGTTTTGTTTGGTAATTTGCTTTTTTTTTTGTCCACTGAGTGCACTCTTGGTCCCAGAGGAGGTAGAGGAGGATTACAGAGTGGGTAGAATGCAGGGTAATGTTAATGTAACTTCAATATGTGTGTACATGTGAGTGTAAGTGTGTCTCTATAAATGCAACACTTAAAAAATAAAACAAAAAACTTCCAAATAGAAAGAGAAGGTTGGTCTAGGGTTAGCACTACTGATAATCAGCTGAATATAGAATGAACTGACAGACCACAGTTTAAACCTGTTCAATCTGACCTCTGAGTAGACTGCAGAGGGCCCGAAGAAAAAGTGCTTCCCAAAATATTTAGAGCCAATTTGCATTGTTGTGGTTCATTAATGATCTCGGGTCACTGACTCTTTTCTGGACTGGAAAACTAATTCACAGTGGAAAGGTATTTGGGGTTTACAACAGGTTAGTCTCTGTCAGGCAGCACTGTGGGGACATCGACTAATAAGACGTTTTAATCATTTAATTGTTCTTCGTTTAGGGCCAAAACTATTTTAAATGTAAATAATACATTTGTAATAATGTGTTTGTTGTGTATCTGTTAAAATAGCCATTATTGAAGGAAAGAAGAAAAACATCAATATAACAGGTGACCCCAAACCTTGTAGTCTTGAGTCAGAGTGTCATTCACATTAACAACAGTTCCAACTGAATATCACAGGACCAGAGCCACGTACCCCTGAGATCATTTCATTATGAGGACTTTGGTCCTGGTTTACTGACAACATTCTGACACATAAAAAAACAAAAGACCATATTAGACTTAATGAGGGATAGTGCTACACGGTCTTGCAAAGTTTTTTCATTCAAAGTCGGACATGATAGAAAAGAAGAACCAAAGGAAGTAGAAAACTTGAGCAAAGATAGATAGATAGATAGAT